TAAAAATATGTTTGTAAAGCACTTGCATCATCTATTTCAATGCTATTTTCAATTAAAGTTCACAGGTAAGTTTTCAATTACATAAAGTTCACAGGTATCAGTGATGCAGAGGCAGTGCTCACCTCTCTGTCTAGGGTGTTGGTTGTTGTTGTGATGACACCTGTTTCTGGATGAATGGTAAACATGTTTGATCCAGATACGAGTGTATATTTAATCTTCACATGGTCGGTGCCAATTTCGTCTCTGTCAGTTGCACTCACCACTCCCACCACAGTCCCTGTATTGTAACCCATAATCATTTAGAGTAACTGGACTGAAAATCAAATACCACAGAATCATCTATTACTGTATGTTGTCTTTCTCACCTGCACTACAGTGCTCAGGAACTGTAAACTGTAAAGGACCTACAAACTCCGGGGCATTGTCATTGACATCATCTACAATCACTCTCAGGGGCAATTCCTCGCCTAGCTGCACATTAGTATGCTTGTCAAAAGCACGCACTACAAACTATAGAGGGAAGAAAGAAACATTTGACTAGTTTGATGCGCACAAATATAGAAAGGAGAGGCAGGAACATAACAAGACTCCATATGTGAACTGTGCCAGTTCCAGGTTGGAATGAAAAAACAAATAAACAAACATGCTCAGTAGAGGATCGATTACTATTGTAACTATTTGAATGATTGATAAATCACTCTTTAAGAATCACTGCTGAACATTATTGGAACTCTTTACAAATCTTCTAAATCAGCGTCATCTTCACACTCACATCATATTCTGGGAACTCCTCACGATCCAGTGCTTTGAGCAAGAGCAGAGCCCCCGTGTCTCTGTCCAGACTGAACACTCCAGTTGGATACGTATCGACTCCTTCTCCTTCGATAGTATAGTACACATCATGGTATTCTGCAGCGTCTATCACTAACTACATCGCAAACCAAATAAAATCATACATATTAAGGAAGAGAAAAACAAAACAAAAAAAAAAAAAGATTGTGTTATTCATAATGTGTTTATCATGAAGCAGTCTGCTGTGTGTTCTTTCAGCTCGCAGTGTCATGAAATCAAAAGTGTACGCGGTTTCTGACATGCTGTAGCTAAGATTATCAGATCTGTTGGGGGGACAATATGTATTGACAATAAACATTTTTATAGCATAGTGATAATTAATGATATGAATTATACATTCAATTCACCGTTGAAAGCTCTTCTGGATAGTTCCCTTCATAATTCTCCACTATATTGAATGTCGGACGTCTCCAATCTCTCCGTCTTTTAGAGCGGTTCAGGGAGCCTTGGCCTCGTTGCTGTGAAATTCCAAAAAGTTCAGACATGTTAGAAAAAAAAATGCACTGTTCCTGCAGATCTCTACAATATTCAGTTGTCTTACATGTCTTTTCAGCATTGTACTGCGGACAAGGTGAACTTCCATCTTACTTTCCAGTCCACTATTGTCCTGAGCACACACAGAAAATGTCCGTCCTCTTTCTCCCACTGAGACATACGTTAAAGCTACAATTTCCCCGTTACTTTTTATTGTGAAACTCGGGTCCTTCACAGTTAACCGCGTTGATTTCGCATCACAGCCGACGGTTTCAACTGAAAAGCGAGAAAGGAAAGTTAAAGAGCCATAAAACAAAGGACGGTTAGGCTACCATACTTTCTCAAGGAAAAGAAATGTAAAAAAACAAGTAAGCAGAGCGGCACCTTTTGCTACACGGTGTCCAGGTCGAAGTCTTCCAGGTGAATTTACGTAGAGAGATCTCTGGAGAAAGCACGACTCCACACAGGACAGGATCTGGAGGTGAAAGTGAGTCAAACTGACTTTTCACGTTTAAATGTTTTAATGCTTCTGGGCATTAAAATGTTGGCTATGGCAATGAGGAATGACTGAAGTAACAGAAATGAAACACATATTGGTGATGCAGGAGTGCTATAAAACCAAACTAGAAGCAGTTACCTGGGTTAGGCAGATGGTGAATATTAAAAATTTCCACATCTTTAGACGAAAAAAATGAGACTGATTTTGTCCTGCATCCAAGTGTGGAGAGTTCAGTTAGTGTTTAACAGAGTAAGAGATGACAAATGTGTCTAGTCTACTCCAGAGCTTTGTCTCCGGTCTGTTCCTTCACTCCTCTATTAATGCAAAAAGGCAGGTTTTTCTCAGATGTCTCTAACTGTCACTATTGGGTGAGTCAGCAGACACACCTTTGATGACACACCCAAGTGTGAAGTGAAGTCCCTTTAGGCCAGGGTAGGGAACGTTAATCCTCAAGAGCTGGTGTCCAGCAGGTTTTAGATCTCACCCTGGGTCACCACACCTGAATCAAATGATTAGTTTATTACCAGGCCTCTGGAGAACTGCAAGACATGTTGAGGAGGTAATTTAGGCATTTAAATCAGCTGTGTTTGATCAAGGACATCTAAAACCTGCAGGACACCGGCTCTCGAGGCCTGGAGTTCCCTACCCCTGCTTTAGGCTGTGCTCTCTGTTGTCTGCTGAGAAAGCCAACGCCCTCAAA